CCTAGTGGCGAACATACTGCCCCTGTCATGGTCAAAGTTAAAACCATTCATTGGGGAGTACAGTTTCTATCTTATTTCATTCATCAGCCGTTATTCCCGTACAACCGATGACGGACCATTAGGAGCTTAATAAACGGACGTATCTATGGACTAATATCAAAAATTGCGAACATTGCCATGTCCATAAGGACACTAATGATCTGCGACCAATATGCCATTACTAAAAACAAACCTTCAAGGCCTGCGCAGCCAATAAGCGATGCTTTCCCAGTGCCTATATTGATGCAAATGTCATGAGACAAACATAGCCTAAGTGAAGGCCGTTCAAGTGAGGTCCTGGAACCCAGTACAGAAGTGCACCTGTAGGCCATATTCAGGTTTCCCTGTGAAACATACGTAGGCGTAATAAGCGCAGTTATTTTACCGCAGTGAGGCCATAAATGGATACTTCTTTAATGACGACTATGACACCACTGCCATATAACATATACTTTTCCATGCAACAACCTTGCAGCCCACCGCGGCGAAAACACAGTCCCGTTGAGTGTACAAACAAAATGCTGTGTGCCAATCATATGGCCTTACTATGCACCGTTCATCATTGCAGCAACATAAAACAAACATGTGGTCCTGCGTATATCTGTGGGATAATTGTGTGAAATATTGTCAACGCTATTAATTAATTTCACTCCTTTCTTATTTGCCATCCTATTATTGGTTACGCATCATATAATTCCCGCACTTACTGCACATGCTAAATTCCCCTTGGTGCTATTAATAATAACCGTATTATGATATGCATAACATGCGTATACTGCTTCTTCTATTCGGGATACTTTGCGATGTACAAGAGCAGGTAATGCTTAAACTCTATGAACACGGGCAAGCACATATTTAGTTAATGTTTCAAGCACATATGGAAGAAGACAATTAGATCCCCGAGTTGAAAATAACGTACACTTCGGTACTGTTAACTCCAGTTACGGGAAGCTGCATTAGGTAATTTATGCAAAGAATAATAACGCATTGTATTGTTACACAGCATAATGACGATTATCCGTGCTACCTTTTTAACTATACAAACGTGTTCCAACATAACCATATAGCCAAAGATAGATTGAGGCATCAGCAATGCCATCTCTTATCCAAATAATTTTGCAAAAATAGTAACGCACATATTTATAATCAAGCAGATGTTTTCACTTCCCTACACCATTATGCATATATAATTGAAAGCGTTATTAACCTCATTTCCATAAACAGATAAATACATTTATGTGTACATACGCATATGGTTATTAATGCGTATTTATATTTTACATAATGCTATATGAAAGAAAATGGATATATTAATATATAAATATATGCGTTTACATTTTTGAAAATGTAACATACTAACACAGAATTGCTGCTCCTGAAATCCGTACATATATATATATATATGGCATGTTTCATCTACAATTTATGCCCCCTACGGCTTCCCATTCCGCAGTTGAGAGCATTAAGGCACCATACCTATAACAGGGACTAACTAGCATTTCGCCCTACCATTCACCTTACATCATTGAACTTAGTGTGCCCCGGGGCGTTCCGACCTGCAACTGACGCTTACGCATCCTTGTTCCGCTTTACAGAAACATTACATAACACGTCCCTTATGTGACTATGTATGCACATATCACGGTGTCACCGGCTTCTATCTATCAAACACCTTTACCCTGCCATTTAAATATTATTCCTACAGCAATTTCTATTCTTACCCACCTATTTTCCAGAGGGCGCTAACATTCCTACTTATTAATTACGCAAAAAACCACATCACATAGCAGCATGTTGAGGTAAGCGTAATACGCATTTCCTGTTTTCCTTGAGTGTATTACTCTTCATATACTCTCTTAAAAAGGCTTTCCCTTCATTTTCTAATCAACGGAACGCACTATTTACTTATCCAATAACATAGGTCCACTTTACACCCATTTATGCAGTTGGAATATCCGGGCACCAGCTACCAAGGTTAGGTCAGGTCAGGTCAGGTCAAAATCCGTGGACGATACAGGCTTCCGCCTAACGAGCGTCCAGCTTCTTGTACCGGTAAGCGAACCAGAGCCCCCGGCACTTCGACTTTTGATCGCCTCTCCTTGCCTCTGCAAAAAGAAATGAAGCAAAAGCGAGAGCAATCTTTGCTTTTACAAGGATCAACATCGGATATCAATGCGAATAAATTGGATAGGATTATATTAATTCCGGAAAAATACGCGGCCAGCACCTGTCTAGGCCTGCTTTGAAGGCAACCACAGTCTCACAATCCATTAGTTCCGAAGGCAACTTATTCCAGTTGCGCACTACACGATTCGAGAAGAACTTAGCCCTGACGTTCAGTCTAGCCCTCTGCTGTTTGAGCTTCAAGCGATGTCCACGCAAGCGTTCAGAATCAGCCAGCTCAAATAAATCAGAGGGCACGATGGCACTGAGGCCCTTCATGATCTTAAATGTTTCTATCAGATCGCCTCTCAGTCTACGCCGTTCAAGGGAAAACAACCCCAGGCTCTTTAGGCGATCTTCATACGGCTTCCCCCGTTGACCTTCAACCATCCTGGTTGCTAGTCTTTGAATCTTCTCCAGGCAAAGAACATCACCACGGAGATAGGGCGACCAAGCTTGAACACAATACTCTAAGTGTGGCCTAACCACTGCTTTGTATAGTGGCAGGAACACTTCTGGCTTGGTATTACACAGAGCCCTCCTGAGGCGAAACAATTCTCGTCGCGCTTTGTTGGCGGCGTATCGACATTGCATCGAAGGCTTGAAGCTGCTCGTCATGATGACTCCTAAATCGCGTGCCTGGGTAGTGCATTGTAAGGGGAAGGGCCCAAAGGAAGTCTGAACTGCAAGTACGTCTCTACTAGTGGTCAGAATTTGGCACTTGCTTGCATTCAAGGGCAAGTCCCATTGCTTCGACCAGTTGACCACACTGACGATATCCTTGGCCAGTGTTGCACGGTTGCCCCTGCTGACTAGTTTCAAGTCATCCGCAAAGATATAACAGGGGTCTTCAATAAGAGGAGCCAAGTCGTTTATAAACATAAGAAACAAAAGTGGACCTAGCACCGATCCTTGGGGTACTCCACTGTAGGCCACGCCCACACTAGAACTCACATCACCGATTCTAACTCGAAACGTTCTCCCATATAAGAATTCTGACACCCAAGACAGAAGTCTAGGATGCACTCCGAACCATGCTAATTTTTCAAGTAGGAAACGGTGATTTACTGAGTCGAAAGCCTTGCTAAAGTCAAGATAGCAGACCTCTACCGGAATCCCGTCGTCAAGACATCGAGTAATCTCATCGAGGAAGCACAGTAGATTAGTGAGGCACGACTTCTTTTTAATGAAACCATGCTGCTCTGCTCTAAGTAGGCTGTGTTCCGCCAAATGCTCACAAATCCGGTTTCTTATAAGCTTCTCTAAACACTTGAGCAGAACACAGGTTAGACTGATGGGTCTGTAGTTAAGGGGCTCCGATTTGGAGCCACCCTTGTGAATCGCAACTATGGCTGCTTCCTTCCAGTCTCGTGGCAACTTGCATTCCTGGAGCGACAAGTTGAACAGCTCCAGAACAGGATGTTGAAGGATGTCAGCTAGTGGCTTGACTATTGCCGGATGTACATCGTCAGGACCGGCTGATTTGAAGGGATTCAAGTTAGTCATCACAGTAAAGACCTCTTGCGCAGTCAGCACGATGTCCTGCATTATATAACTGCTGACACAGTGTGGCTGCGATGGTGCAGCACATCCATTGTCGCTCCTATGAAGATTCTGAAAGACTCTTAGCAGCATTTCAGCTTTATCTCTGGCTTCCACAGCCTGGCTGCCATCTTCCATAATTAGACACCCAACGTCCTCTCTTAGGGAGGCTTTAGACTGAACATAGCCGTAGTAACACTTTGGATTTGTTTTCGCATACCGGGCCAGCCGAAGCTCATAAGAGTATTTAGCCTGCCGTTGCATCTTGATAGCCTTATTCCGGCTTTTTGTGTACTGTAGCCATCGACGAAAGCCCCTGGCCTCATTGAATTTTTTCCACTTCTCATTTCGTCTCTTTAGAGCTCTATCAATTCTCCTCCTCCACCACCGAGGCTTGCTGAAGTGTCTCGCAGGACGAAGAGGAGCAAACTCATTCAATAGTTGTACTAAACCAGTTTTAAGCACAGACCACCTTTGTTCCAAAGATGCCTGTTCCTGGTCAGGGATCCAATTGACCTGGAGGGCTCTATCCCTCAATTTCATGTGGTCGATGCGGCTGAAATTTCTCACGAGGCGAGGATGTCGTGCAGGCTTCAATGTATTTAGGCAGAAAGTGAGGACGCAGTGATCACTCCTACCTAAAGGTGCTTCCACTTGTAGCTCTGCGAAACGACCGTGTTTGGTGATGGCAACATCCAACGTGGAGGGGGCACTCCCGATTCGGCTCCTGGTCGGTATATTGATGTATTGTTCAAGTGCATTCTCATGCATCCAGTCAACCAGTTCCTGTTCCAAGGTATCCGCTCTGTTTGCCGTGCCTTGCCAATCCGCATGAGGAAGGTTAAGATCACCAACTATTAGGAAATTAGGCGCAGCAACCACTGCGCGCCTCAATAGTGCACCGAGCTCTTTGTCCTCCTCTCGTGTGGACGATGGACTGCGGTAGACACATATAAAGATCTCCAACCTGCCCATCATCCTTAAGTAACAAGACACCACTTGAACGTTCGTATTACTCATCATAAACGGAGCCTCCCAATGACTATACTGGCGCTTTATAAGCAATAGTGCTCCCCCGCCAGTGTGGTGATCAGGCCTATCTACTCGGTAACTCACGAAATCTACCAGCAGGTCGCTAACCATGTCGCTCGGAGAAAGCCATGTCTCTGTCAAGGCAACAACATCAGCACATCCGCAGCGCCTCACCATCTCTCCCCATTTGTTCCTCACACTGCAGCAATTGGTATACCATACAATTAGTCCTGCTTGACGCGGTTGTTTCCCCTCGGGCGCAGCACCCGAGGGGACAACCCGTTTTTTGACGCCGCGTCATTATCGTTCGCCGCCTGCAATGCTGGGTCAAGATTAGGCTCTTGTAGGTCAACACGAGCAGAAACCTTGTCAGGTTCCGTCCGATTTGAGTTGTTTCGTAAACGACCAACTTGCTTCTTTCTCTTTAACTTAGAAGGTCTAGCAACGCTGCCTTTCGAATTTCCTGCAAGGTCAGCCTTGGGAGATTCACAGCGTTGGTTTCCCAAACCGATCAGCGAGATGCACGTAGTGTCCTTGAGTTCCGGAGCAGCTGACATTATGCGAGTGGCATCAAATAATCCTGGATGCGCCACCTGTAAGCTCATGTCCGCAACCCCGCAACTTTCCCCGGGTAACAAGCTGGAAGTCGTACTTCCGTCCAGTGAAACTTTGGTCGTTGTTACATGTAACTCGCGACTTATTCCCCTTGCAACCTGCATTGTTTGAGGACTCGAGCAGACAACTGCCGCTGTGGTAGGAGTGCAGTCCCACCTAGTTCCTTTTGGTGTAATCATGGCATGTTGCTGACTGACTCTGACCCCAGCGGCCGGAGATGCAGGGTATACAATCACTCGGCTGTAAGTACCTCCGGGTGAACCAACTTGTGAGGAAGCACCTTTCGCGGTACCTGCATCTGATACTGAATTTGTGGTGTGGTAGTTCGAAGGAACGACCTCCGCTGCAGTGGGACAATCATCTCTGGTAGGCACTGATGCAATGCGGGGATCACGTAAAGCAGCACCCTTAACCAAGGTCGCAGACACGCCAGCCAAGCGGTTATTAGTATCTTCCGACTGACATACCCGAGGGACCTTGGCTTGTGAGCTAAGTGTGTCCGGGGCCACCTGATACCGGCCATTGGTCTGACTCTCGATTAAGCCGGCTCGGTTAAGCATTTGATCACGATAAACAGGGTTCCTAAATTCAACCAGAATCGGCCTAGCAAATCCTTGCTGACGCAGTGGACCAGTCTCTCTCCAGCTACCTACACGATGCACCCTTTTGATACCGACGTTTAAAGGTATCCCGGCTATGCGGAGGATGTCGTGTATTCGTCTCCGGTCCAGGTCTCGTCGAGTCTTTGCCTCGTGTATCACCGGCTCCTCCCGATTGTAGATAAGAACATTTCTTTGCCTGCCCATGGCAACCTCCGCACTCCGAGCGTAGCTATTTAAAGAATCGCGCAATTCGTCAATCTTCACTCGCAGTGCATCTATGAGCAAAGCCTGGTCGCTGATCAGTTTTTCTGCGGTGGAGAGCCGCTGCAGATACTTCGCGTCAGCTACCCTCTGAACATCAGGCAACTGTGGAGGAGCAGCAAGCCGCTCGCGTAATAAGCGAGCACAAGTATCAGCTAGGCACACACAGTGAAAACAGATCCACTTCAGTTGGGGATGCTGGGTGTACAGATCAATGGACGAATGGTCTAACCTAGAGCAGGTGCTATGATACCATAATAAACATCGGTCACACTGTATGCCTTCCGTGACTGCAGTGCCACAACTGTGCTCGCCACATTTATCGTTAGTATCAAGAGCCATAGTTATTTGGAAGGTGGAACCAAGAATAAGCAAAAAGCGAAACGAGTAAGCAGATGCAGGAGAAAACAGCAAAGAACAAACTCACGGAAGACAAGAAGCCTTTGGGACGGGTAGGTTCAAGTATGCAGCAGCAAAGATAGCAGCCCAAAAGTCGAAGAGTCGAAAGCCCTGGTTCACTTGCTGGTAGAAGGGCTAGATGTGGAAAGGCGGACCGTAGCGACGTCAGGAAGGATTTGGTTGTGACTGGAATACGAGCCAGGCGATTCAAAGTCGAGTCAGTCAGGAAAAGTGCTACAGCAGACTGCAGTATCTTGATGCCACAAAGTAAAAACGCCGGATCCAATGTAACAGTCAGTCTTTAGCAGCAGTAGAAAATACTTGAGCGAAAGTATTTGGATAGGATGGGTAGGATGAACGTGGTTTGCATGCACTACTATACACGGCAGCGAACCGTATAGGTAATTTAGCACTTCCAAGTCCTTTTGGATCACAAGAAAAGTGACAAAAGCCAAATTTTCTGCGCAGTGTTATTCAACTATTGTTCTCAAACCAGGATTTCAGTGAAGAAAATCGCAAACGGTGAAACACGACAAGCACGCCGTGACCAAACACGGTCTGTTATGACCGGCGAAGTCGGAAGCGCACAATAAAAGCTAAAGGAATTCGTTTCATTCATACAGATGCTAATCGATAATTTATATCATTTACAATTTTACTAAGTACATATCATTATCCTACACTACCATTATATTCCTGGCTGTGCCGGTTGGTCTTGGCCCGCAAACTCGTTCCCGCCAGATGTGAGAGTCCTGGTCCCCGTACTACGGAGTCAGTCTTTCAATTTTTCGCTGACGCGCAATCCAACACCAGCAATCGATTGAAAGATGTTCAGAGGCTTATATTCATGGCGGACACATGAAAAAAATAAAACAACGGTCGTAGCAGCATAGACAAGAAAAGCTATTAAACGCTTACCAATAAAAATCAATGGTGCATGAGTAGCAAAGAATATTTCAAAAATATAGACAACAAGTTGCAGGGATTACGTAAAATTATGCAAGTGCTGTTTTAGTTCCCTTGGTATGCGACTCGGGACATCTAAAATTCTGTATCGTGTTCAAAGCCTTACGTTGTGAGAAACAGACTCCAGAATGAAAAAGAACAAACTAATTTGATAGCCACTGGCGCTGTGTACAATGAGAGCCTGTGTAACAGCAAACCCTTGTTCTCTCCAACTACATTCATAACTGTCCCACCTATCGTCTCGTATGCTTTTAAGGTACCGTTTGACACACCTCGCCACATCATATTTACATTTTTTAGGTGACTCAGTCTATGAATATACTGTCTGTACGCAACCCGCGTTCTTTGCATCCTTACTTGCCCTGGTGAGACTGCCTAAGACATAGCTACATTCGAGGGTGAACTTCCCCCCCTCTCCTTTAGCCGCTGCAACTACCTAGGAAAAACTGGGAATGACTGCGCATTACCTGAAATGTGCATTATTCGGCAGCTGTTAAGGTGGCAGCGTATGACGCAGATAAAATAGGAAAATCAACATGGCTGATGGCCGAGGATAAGTTTTTCGCTGCTGGCTAATTGGTGTTAGCCACTAGAGGTTATGGGTTTGATCCCCAGTAGGGGACCGGGGGAACCCAATTAAGTAAGATTGCGGTGTTCCACAATCGTCAAGGTTGGGGACGCAGTTACGCTTGTTTTTCATTAACGAACTTGTAAGTGTCATCAACTTAAAGTTTGTCTTTCGCCGACAAACTCAATATATGACGCGCAATCAGCTATCAGCAAGCTCACCATTTGCTGCAACAAAACTTAGACCACGCCTATGAATTACCAAATGCAGAGCTACTTCCGGTTCACACGGACAAGTGCAAAACCTTGCAGTCTGCCACAAGCTCACGCACGCATTTAAGCTTGTAGACGATATGCTGAAAACAGCCTCACAAGAGCGAGACCTTGGGGTGGTGATGTAAGACGACCTCGGCTGTTCGGCGAAGTCATTGAAGACGTCCAACTCTGCGAACCAACATGTTGGTCTGTTACAGAGAGCATTTGATAGGTTTGATCCTACCATCTGCCCCAAATATTCAATGCATTTGTGGGGTCCCATATAAAGTAAGCGATCCAGGTTTCGTAACCTAGGTTGAAATGCCATCTGGCTGCGCTGGAGACCGCGCTGTGAAGGGCCACGAAAAATGTGTATGGGTTGTCCCACTTGCGACCGAGAGTCCTGCGAGTTTACAACAAAAGATAGCAGCGTTTAAGGGATGAACTCATCCTAGGGGCTCAGATCTTGAAAAACCCCGGTCACACCTGCCGTCACCTTCTGAAGCTTAGCCGCAGCAGACCTTAAGGGGTCATAAGTTGGAATTTGATATCCAATACAGTCGGCTGAAATGACGCCGGAATTATTTTCCCCTTCGAGTTTGTCAACCGTGGAACGCTCTTTCGACTTTTATCATTTCAGCGCCCATTCCACCCATTTTTAACAAACGACTCGAGGATGCCTTACGTCAGTTATATTACTTGAGCTAATTTTTATTTCTTGAAGGACGGCAAGACGCAGACAAACATTGTGCCCATCAACCCCACGAAATCGGAGTAGACGGCTATACCTGTGTTACCTTGGATAATATGGTGCACACCGGAATGCTTTTTTCACCTTTGTGAATCCAATTTAACTAACGTTATACCTAAAAATCCTCCTACGGGACTTGTCAAGCCTTCGCATTTTTATCCGTACTATACCATTGTTCCGTTGTTCCATTGAATAGTCACCACTGCCAAGCACCAATAAGGTGAAAGGCGTCTGGTGCTTTTCCTGATTCAGGTCGACCTTGTAGCTTGTGAGCTGTTGGGATGAATGCATTACAGATTTAATTGTCAGACGCCAAGTTAACCTTAATTATAATTGCAACGAAGTGCATCCAGGAAGACGGACATTTTATAGACTTAGGAGCACGTCCGTCAGGTACCGTAGAAAAGAAGTTGTACATTTCAACAGCATGGTTACACTGCATGTATCCACTGAGGTGAATCAAGTCCACAGCTTACATGTAAACGCGTCGGTTTACTGATGTGCAGATTAGAATAAGATAATATGAGGCCATAGTTGGGATCTGGACGGCTACGGATCACAGGGCCAGTCTCCATGAGGGTGAATGGTTATTTATCATCAAGTATTAGGTCTTTGTAGAATTCATAGCAAAGCTCTTCTATTGGTTCACCTCACTATTTAAGGACTCATTTTTATATGCCGCCATGAGCTGCAGTGGAGAGCTTATGGTCGCTATACTCCAGAGTGTTACGGCTTTCAGAAAGGCTTGCGTGCCTCATCTGTCATCACGTTTGTGATTATTCTAAATGACGCTACAGTTTACGCCAGGAAGAATGTAGGACACATAGTGAGCGAGAAAGTGCAAACTTGCGAAAAAATTATAGCTAGGTGACCAAACATTACTGACTCTGGGGTTAAAAACACGCATGGTAGGAAATGGGCCAGGTAAAAGAGACTTTTATGAAGCTGGCCAAAGTAAAGTGTGATGTTGGTCAAAAGTCCTGGAAGTCCGGCTATCCGAACTGACAGGAGCCTCTCTGACATAAAGTTGAATTTCAGGCCAGGTTAACAGAATATGAAAACGGGAAGAGCAAGATGACAATGCTGTCCAAAAAAGGATCTGGCTTCGCATGTTACCAATCTGCCAGCGTTGTCATTAATAATAATAATGGGTATATTTCGCATTTAAATGAGAAACTGTGGCCATATTTGACACAGCTAATATTTTGCAGACTATGTCATACTCATGCATGCATGGTTAACATTATGTGATTTTCATTGCGTTTGCGGTTTCAAGGGCATTTATTAACTTGCAAGTGGGTTTCGGAGCAGTATGCAGAAGTTGGAACAGCGAATGGTACTAGCACTATGGGTGTGTGCTTTACAGTACGAAATCCTTTTTATTCAATTGATGTTGGCTGGCCCTTCTCGGTACAACTCATCTAGTGATCTCTCCCAAGAGAACAGGATCATAATCGCTTTCAAATCTAAGTAATTGGAGAGATTAACGCGAAAGACCCTTGCGCCCTCATACGATCTGATTGTGACTGGAAGCTTGTTCCACAGGAAAGCATACCTGATAAGGAAAATATTAGACAGTAGATTTACCCTGCGTCTGGGTACACACAGGGTAGACTTCTTATTGCGTACCTCTCTTGTCGAACTAGGTTGTAGTTCTAGGCATTGCAAGTAGCAGTGGGCATTCTGCTGAATCATGTTGTACAGAATCATCAGGTTTTGTCCCAATTTTTGCGGCCAACTCGGATCTAGCTACAACTGTTTACAGCACTCCCGATAGTTCTTAGTGGATGTATTATCTAGCAGACATTTGGTAAGCGACCTTTGCATTCTTTCAAAGGATACTCTATAAGCTTTCCTTATACTGCCACAAAATAGGGTGAGTGGGGATGTTGAAGATTTCCACTCTGGCTGGGGTTATGTGGAGCTTAGGTAATTTATTATCCGTTGATTTTCTGGCCCTAAGCAGCTGGTATTCCACTTGTTCAGCAAAGTCGTAAGTGCAAAATACCTGATTCCGAGTTAACGGGTAGACGGCTGTGCACAAATGGGTTCGCCGTTGAGCGTGCTGTCAAGCATCGAACAGCGGCTACACATGCAGCTAAACTTTTCCGCCTAGAACTTATTCATCCAGATGTCAAACCATGTCACAAGGGAGTAGAGGTCACCCTGTAGCCTAAAGTGCAGTTCGTCGAAATTTGTAAACTACCTTTATGCCATCTGCAACTAGAAACGGCATGCCATGACGAATAGCCGCACTGACCTCATCGGCATAGTGTTAGTACCGTAAAGGACGAACTACACTCCTTTGAATAACACCACTAGTAATTGGACGAGGTGACGATTGGTGGTCGTCTATGGTAACTACCTGAGAACAGCCGCTCATGTATGCCAATAGCCAGCCAAG